CTCGCCGCTTTTCATACCTCCTCAGGTAAGCTTCTTTCGATTACCTTCTTATATGCCAAAACAAACATCGTCTTCAAAGTTTAACTGCTTTTGTAAACCTAATTGTTCCCGTTCCCGTGCTGCAAGAATCTTTTACCTAGAAGGGTCGAGATCGAAAATTTACTGTTTTTGGAGACGTATGTTTAGGGTTCTTAGAAACCCAGTTATGGAATCGTTGCTTCGAGTTGTATAAACCCTAATTTCGTGTCTTTTTTTGATGATTGTTGATTTCATATACGCAGGTGTACGTTAGCAAAGTTCATAGCTTTTTTACCTCTAATGGCGACTCGTAAGTTGTTTACTTACTCTTTGCGAATTTCTTTGAAAGTGGGGTTTTTAATGGGTTTGGGGATAATATGCAGGTCTTCAGTTTGAGAACAATTGTGAAGTTGGTGTCTTTTCCAAACTCACTAATGCCTATTGCTTAGTCGCTATTGGAGGCTCTGAGAACTTTTACAGGTATCTTTTGTTTTTGCTTTGAGACTCTGTAAAGCTTCGGTTTTGCTTCTTCTATAATACCATTTTCTTAAGATTGGTTGATGTTTTGTTTGATGTTTTGCAGTGCTTTTGAGTCGGAGTTAGCAGATGTTATCCCTATTGTTAAGACCTCTATTGGAGGAACACGAATTATTGGGCGTCTTTGTGCTGGTTTGCTTTCTTCAAACACCTTAGAAGTTCTTGCTTTTAATCTTTTTGATGTTTTTTCACTAGCGTAACGAGGTTTTGTTTTCTTGGTTTAGGAAATAAGAATGGACTTCTTGTGCCTCATACAGCTACTGACCAAGGTAATCTAACAGTTCTTACACCGTATTGTTTCTCAACGCACAATTAAGAATTGCTCTTTGAATTTTATAATAGCAGCATATTCCTGTGGACATATATATATAGATAGTGGAGTTTTTTGGCTGAATATACCTGTTTAATATACGTTTATGAGTGGTTTTCTTGTAACTGAATATGTATTTGGTGAAGATGATTTTTCCTTCCATTTAGTTTGTCAAGGAATCTGTAATGGTGGATTGTTATTTATATATGGGCCTTGTCCTTTTTTCTCCCACATTTTTTTTTTATATTATGGATTTGTGGTCTGAAGTTGGTTGCATCTTCTGAGTTTTGCTAATGGTTTTTACTCTGACAGAGCTTCAACACTTGAGGAACAGTCTACCTGATGAAGTTGTGGTCCAGCGAATTGATGAACGTCTGTCTGCTCTTGGAAATTGCATTGCCTGCAATGACCATGTTGCTCTTGCCCACACCGATCTAGACAAGGTAAAGATGTCCTGCTGAATTTTGCTATTGAAACCTTTTCAAAAACATGTCTGCTGTTTTCCCAAATCCTTTTTTCATGGCTGGCAAGAAATGGTGAAAGAAGGAATTGTCTTTGTAAAGATATACGAATATTTTTAGTGCAAAAAGAACATATGCTTCCTTACTATAACTGCATGTGTTTTGGAGGACTTTTTAGCTTGGCATGCTAACAGAGTTGTACATATGGCGTTTGGTTTGATGTCGGGTTCTTGTGTTGTTGTTTTTTGCATCCTCAGGAAACTGAGGAAATAATAGCTGATGTTCTTGGAGTTGAAGTTTTCCGTCAGACAATTGCAGGCAACATTCTTGTGGGCAGTTACTGTGCCTTGTCCAACAGAGGTGGAATGGTAAGAGAATACCAAACATAACATCCCTTTCTTGATAACCGATGCGCACTAGAATTTGAATGACTAAAAATGTCTCGTCTCAAATAGGTCCATCCTCACACCTCAGTGGAAGACTTGGACGAACTCTCAACACTTCTTCAAGTCCCTCTCGTTGCAGGAACTGTGAACCGTGGTAGTGAAGTTATAGCTGCGGGTATGACTGTTAATGATTGGACCTCTTTCTGTGGTTCAGACACAACCGCTACAGAGCTCTCTGTTATAGACAGCATCTTCAAGCTAAGGGAAGCCAAACCCAGCGCTATTGTCGATGAGATGAGGAAGTCTTTGATCGATACCTATGTTTAAATTTTGCTTTGTTTGGATATGACACACACAAAAACCATCCCCTAGTGTCAAATGTCATCTTTTTTGGTCTTTGTAGTCTCTGAATATCTCCTACTGTTGCAAGAATTAGCTGTTTCTTCTTTCGTCTTATCTTTTTTGTGGTTGAAACAGTTATTGTGTTGTCTTTTTGGATCTTGTTCAAGTAATCGATAAGAAAATTCTCGTTAAAAAAAATACATATTTGAGGTCCACATTTGTTTCATATTCTAGTGGAGAAGAAACTATTGGTGAATGGATAACGGTTTTGTTCGGTACATATCCGATTTGTGCATTTCTATGTGTATGCAACTATGCATAGATAAAGTTAACACCTTTTTCGCTTTAGATAGTTTTGAAGATTGAATTGAAAGTTGGGACCTTTCATTTCCAATCACAAAAACCCATCTCTTTTCTCTCTTCTTCTATCTCCAACGACTAGAGAAACAGATCCCAGAATCAAGTTCTATGGCTCGTTGTTACCAGGATGCATTGGAGGCATTGTCGTCTTTGATCACAAAACGCAGCCGTTTTGTTAATACCAACCAATCTCACCGATTCCGTTTGCTCTTCCATTACCTCAAGGTTCTTGATTAACTTCTTTCGTTGTGTCACATGCCAAAAGTTATGAGCTTTTTGTATAGACTCATGAATCTATTAGGTTCTTGAGCTCGAAGAAGCAGTCTCACAAATGAAAATCATTCATGTGGCTGGAACTAAAGGGAAGGTAATGTCTATGGTTTCCTTGAGATTATTACAATGAAGATTTTTGAAATGTTGTGTATCTTTTTTAAGGGATCAACATGCACATTTATTGAATGTATTCTTCGTAACTACGGTCTTCGAACTGGTCTGTTTACATCTCCTCACTTAATCGATGTCCGAGAGAGATTCCGTTTGAACGGGTGAGCTTCTGAAAACATTCACATCACAACGATTTTTATCGAAAAAAGTGTTGAAAAAGACAAACAATTGCTTGCTTCAGCATTGAGATAAGCCAAGAGAAATTTGTGGATTACTTCTGGTTTTGCTTCCATAAGCTCAAGGTGAGGAGTTTAGAACAGAACATTCATATAGAGACCTTTTTTTGGGTTTTGTGTTTCTCTTATTTTTGTTATACCATTTCAAATTTTAAGTGCAGGAGAAAACCAGCAATGAGATTTCAATGCCTACTTACTTCTGCTTTCTTGCATTGTTAGCTTTCAAGATTTTCGCAACCGAACAGGTTCTGACATTAATCTTTCTTCTACTCAGTAAGCTAAACTCATGTACTTAAAAGCCATGTAATGTTATTGGCGTTATGCTCAGGTAGATGTTGTTATTCTAGAGGTTGGCTTAGGTGGTAGATTCGACGCGACTAATGTGGTACGAAAAATCGACTTTTTTTTCTATGTCAGATCAGGTTTTGTCTCTAACAAAGCATATGTTAATATAGATTAAGAAGCCTGTTGTATGTGGTATTACTTCTCTTGGATATGATCATATGGAGATTCTTGGTTAGTCTCTTTCACACCACTTTATGAAGAAATTGGATCCAACGCGTTTGTAATCACTCGTTTTTTTTTATCCAGGAGACACTCTTGCCGAAATCGCTGCAGAGAAAGCCGGTATCTTCAAGGTGAAAACAAAAAAAAACTCTGCTTTATTCGAGTTTTAGTTTCCTTATTCATCTTTGTTCTTTGTTGTTGCAGAGTGGAGTTCCTGCTTTTACAGTGCCTCAACCTAATGAAGCGATGCGTGTACTTAACGAGAAAGCTACAGAATTGAAGGTAAGGCTACACAAAAACAACCAAATCACATTAGATAGATGTTTTAAGATGAAATAACGTTATATAATGAGTACTTGTTTGCAGGTGAATCTCCAGGTGGTGGAACCATTGGACTCAAGTCATAGACTCGGGCTACAAGGCGAACATCAATATCTAAACGCCGGTCTTGCTGTTGCGTTGTGTTCTACATTTCTTCAAGAGATTGGTATTGAGGACAAGAATGGTCTAAATAAGACAGTAAGTTGAAACAATGACAAAAACATTCTTGACTTGTGTGAGATTCTGTTAATTAACGGCTTTTGCTTCTTCTTGAAAACAGAACGGTTTACCCGAAAAATTCATCTCTGGATTGTCGAATGCTTATTTGATGGGACGGGCAATGATCGTGCCTGATACAGAACTCCCTGAGGAGATTGTGTTTTATCTTGATGGTGCTCATAGTCCAGAAAGCATGGAAGCTTGCGCGGATTGGTTTTCACAAGAGATTAAACAAAACCAAGCAAGAAACCAAGAAAGATCAGAGCAGGTGAAATTGTGTCTTTAAAATCTCAAAAACTTGTGAATGTTATAAAGCTAATGTGTATGTGCAGATACTCTTGTTCAATTGTATGTCTGTTCGTGACCCGAGTTTGCTTCTTCCACGATTAAGGAGCAAATGCATTGATCAAGGTGTGTTTATATGTTATGAGATTTAGGTTGTAATTATTAAGCCATTACAAGAAGTCTCATTTAGAAAATGTGCTTACTAGGAGTTGAATTCAAGAAAGCGGTTTTTGTGCCAAACGTATCAGTGTACAACCAAGTGGGATCTTGGTCTAACGTTGACCCTCGTGTCGATTCGATGACGTGGCAGTTTGGTCTTAAGAGAGTTTGGGAAAGATTGGCTCGAGGTGACGCACATAATAAAGGGAAAGTGGAAGAGAAGAGCTTCGTTTTCTCGTCACTTCCTATGGCCGTTGACTGGCTCCGGGAAGATGCTCGCCGGAGTAAACAAGTCCGTTTTCAGGTAAAGTCAATTATAGTAGCCCTGCTTTGGTATATGTATATATATGTTTGTTATAATTGGTATAAATTGTACGTAGTAAGTGTTCTAATTGGGATTTTTTTTTGTTATTTTGGGTGTTATTAGGTGTTGGTAACTGGTTCATTACATTTGGTGGGTGATTTGTTAAGATTAATCAGGAAATGAATGTTGAGATTTTATGATAATTGTGGATTCAATCAATACACGTCCATACTAACAATC